TGATGGTTTCAAAATTTTTCACGGAGAGGTATACGAGTGCAATCTTAAAATGCTTTTATTTTGTAAATGGAGCATTTTATTTAAATCTGGTTACTGCTACAGTGGTAGAAATGCTGAAATCTATGTATACACCTAAAAATCTGAAAATAAATTATTTTTTATATATTATATATCTATTGTGTAGTCCTTAAGTTTTCTACTAACGTAGCATCAACCAGATTTAAATAAGATGCTCCATTTGCAAATTATTAGCATTTTAAAATTGAACTCGTATACCTCACCGTGTAAAATTTTGAAACCATCATCACTTTCATAGTTCTTCTATTCTCCACAAGTACCAACTTTGATTTGCCAATAGGCCTTTTTAATGGGAACTAAACGATCGATTCAACCTCTGGTGGTGAATTGGCAAATCAAAGTTGGCACTCGTGGAGAATAGAAGAACTATGAGAGTGATGATGGTTTCAAAATTTTACACGGTGAGGTATACGAGTGCAATCTTAAAATGCTTTTATTTTGCAAACGGAGCATTTTATTTAAATCTGGTTAATGCTACGTTAGTAGAAAACTTAAGGACTACTCAATAGACATATAATATAGAAAAAATCATTTCTGTTCAGATTTTTAGGTGTACACAGAGATTTCAGCTTTTCTACAACTGTAGCAGCAACCAGATTTAAATAAACTGCTCCATTTGCAAAATAAAAGCATTTTAAGATTGCACTCGTATACCTCCTCGTGGAAAACTTTTAAAACCATCATCACTTTCATAGTTCTTCTATTCTCCACGAGTGCCAACTTTGATTTGCCAATAGGAGAACGTCAAAAAGAGTGTTGTGAGCATAAATTTTTGCCTTGAGACATAGGAAGCGGAACACTTTTTTACTTTTCCTGATAAATTGATTCATCTGAGATGCTGCAAAACTCAATCGACAGTTGAAAAATTTAATTCTGTAACGTTTTTGCAAACATCCTGCTGGTGTACAGGAATATTTTTGTTGCGAAAAATGCAAAATTAGAAAAGTGCCTTAGAGCAACCGTACCAATGAGTAAATAAGGCACATTTACCAACCTCTACCATAACGCTACTTGCGTACCGAGGGTTGCTATTCAGGTGGGGGAAATAGCAATCCGCACCATGGGAAGTAGTGAGTTCATAAATTTAGCAACCCGGTAGCAACGCCTCAGACGGTTGCTATTTTGAATAAACGTAAAAAAAATGTTTTGCCGGTGTGGAAAACGGTAACTTAAATTATGACTCTGATAGCAACGACCGGTGTGGAGAGGAGTGATTAAGCCAAAATGGAAACAATGTGCGTAAGTAAAATAGTGCCGCAAATGGCAACGACTGGTACGGTTGCTCTTAGTGGTTATGATCTTCCGGATTTCTTGTGTGTGGATAGTTAAGGTGCAAATCAGTTCAGATTTGTGGAAAATCGTACAAAAAGACAATTACCGATAGAAATTGGCAAGATTTTTGTGGTAGATAATGTTTGGTATGAAATAATAATAATAATAATTAACATGATAACAATACATATTGAATGTATCAAAACTAGAAAGCTGAGCGTCGAGTAACGCCATTCTCAATTTGAGTAGAATTAAGTTAGCGTGAAGCATTAAAACGATGATTTAAATAAACGCACACACATACGCACGCTTGAACGAGCCGAGGCTTATGTGTTTCGGCATCTGCATGATTGAACCAGTCATTTGACCAATCTTGTTGCGCACGGTTGTGCATTTGCTTTCCGGATGGTCTTTGTTGCGACAAATGGCCGAGACTTGCAACCTCGGTCAGTTCACGACAATTTTGAATGAAAACTGCTGTTATTTGCGTTGGGGAAAATTCTTATTCTGATGTAAACAAACGGTTTGGTTGACGTTTCTTCTCGAACTCGCTTGGCGCACTCTACGTTGGTGGTGCATTAAAAAGGCGTATAGGAAGAGGACAATATTTTCACCTTTCCTGATTAATTTATCCACCGCAGGTGCTTGAAATCATCATCCACATGGAATAGTTTTTACCAAAATTATTATCGGAATGTAATAGCGAATTCGTTTATTATCGGGGTTGGAACCAGTTCCAACCTCAACCTGAGCTGGGTTTTAAAAACAAACGATCAAACTGACGTTTGTCAGAAAACAAGCAGACCAAATCTTGATACCCGATCCAGGTTGGAACTGAATAATAAACGAATTCGCTATTGGCAAATCAAAGTTGGTACTCGTGGAGAATAGAAGAACTATAAAAGTGATGATGGTTTCAAAATTTTACACGGTGAGGTATACGAGTGCAATCTTAAAATGCTTTTATTTTGCAAACGGAGCATTTTATTTAAATCTGGTTAATGCTACGTTAGTAGAAAACTTAAGGACTACTCAATAGACATATAATATAGAAAAAATCATTTCTGTTCAGATTTTTAGGTGTACACAGAGATTTCAGCTTTTCTAAAACTGTAGCAGCAACCAGATTTAAATAAACTGCTCCATTTGCAAAATAAAAGCATTTTAAGATTGCACTCGTATACCTCCTCGTGGAAAACTTTTAAAACCATCATCACTTTCATAGTTCTTCTATTCTCCACGAGTGCCAACTTTGATTTGCCAATAAGATTGCTGCTTGTTTATTTACACTCTGCTGCTCATCAATGTTATCCGAATCCGATCATGAAGTTTGACACTTCACTCGAGAGCGAAGTGTCAAACTTCGTGCTCGGATGGCAGAGTGTAAATAAACGAGCATAAATTCCCCCACAGAGCTGGTCTAATACCTCGTACAGACTATGGCTTATATCATGTAATATAGGCTGTCTTGCAATGAGCACTCATACATCAAGTTTTCAGTGGAAATCCTATGTATGAGTGCTCATTGCAAGACAGCCTATATTACATGATATAAGCCATAGTATGAACGGGGTTTAAAGCAAACCCCACACACATCAATATATTGACGCGAAGGGGAATTATTGACAATTATATGATAAATGGCCTATGCCAATAGGCCTTTTTAATGGGAACTAAACGATCGATTCAACCTCTGGTGGTGAATTGGCAAATCAAAGTTGGCACTCGTGGAGAATAGAAGAACTATGAGAGTGATGATGGTTTCAAAATTTTCCACGGGGAAGTATACGAATGCAATCTTAAAATGCTTTTATTTTGCAAATGGAACATTTTATTTAAATCTGGTTGCTACTACAGTGGTAGAAAAGCTCAAATCTATGTGTACACCTAAAAATATGAAAAGAAATTAATTTTTCTGTATTATTTGTCTATTGAGTAGTCCTTAAGTTTTCTACTAACGTAACATTAACCAGATTTAAATCAAATGCTCAATTTGCAAAATAATAGCATTTTAAGATTGCACTCGTGTACCTCACCGTGTAAAATTTTGAAACCATCATCACTCTCATAGTTCTTCTATTCTCCACGAGTGCCAACTTTGATTTGCCAATTGCAGCGAACCACATTATTTTAATTGGCAAATCAAGGTTGGCACTCGTGGAGAATAGAAGAACTATGAGAGTGATGATGGTTTCCAAATTTTACACGGTGAGGTACACGAGTGCAATCTTAAAATGCTATTATTTTGCAAATTGAGCATTTGATTTAAATCTGGTTAATGTTACGTTAGTAGAAAACTAAAGGACTACTCAAAAGACATATACTATTGGCAAATCAAGGTTGGCACGCGTGGAGAATAGAAGAACTATGAAAGTGATGATGGTTTCAAAATTTTCAACGGGGAAGTATACGAGTGCAATCTTAAAATGCTTTTATTTTGTGAATGGAGCATTTTATTTAAATCTGATTTCTGCTACAGTGGTAGAAAAGCTGAAATCTTTGCCCGAAAAAAAATCCAATAAAAATACAATGATTTTCATTGTCATTGTGACCATAATATTTACTGTCAAAACATTGGACATTTTTGTCCATTACCATAAAATCACCCAGTGGCAGGCGCGTAGGCAACATGTTATACAGTGACAGCGGGCCCATTACAGCAAAATAAACGATGAGCCCGGGATATGCTGCCTACTGTGAAACCACAAACGAAGTGACAGACGGAGCGGCTCGAAAACTTTGGTGACTAACCTGCTATTTCAATTTTTCAGTGTACCACATGGCAACACCACTACTACTGGATTGTACCACATGGCAACACTACTACTGGATTGTACTAGCATTTTCACCAAATGTATTAGAATGTTTTGGTTCTATCTCTTTCACTCTACTCTAAACTGAAATGCATAAAAAAATGACAAAATGATACACTCTTTGCACACTGTCAAAGAATCATTGTACACAAAATCAACTTTGTTCAAATCAAAACAAAAAAACTAACCCATCTGGTGGATGATGGCACAAGTTTACAAGAAAATTCTATTACAGTGAACCACATTATTTTAATGGATTTCTTCGCCAGTTAGTCGTCTGTCACTTCGTTTGTGGTGAAACGCTGCTGTTGGTATAGGCCTTGTAACTGGCCTGCTCAAAAACCATGCTGCTGTTTTGACATACATTTTCTTTGCGCTTCTCTATCAATGTATCTATATTTATCGTCTGGCGGAGAAAAATTTCTTCCGGCAAGAAAGGGAAACAATTCAAGATATTGAAGACCAACCAATAAAAAGGGGGTCAAATTTTAAAAATAAAACTTAGATAGTCCATTCCTTGCCAACCGAACGCATTTGCATCATAAAATAGGAACTGGTGTTTTGCGTAGGTGAGCTTTGAATCGCGAGAAAAGTTTTTCCGGATTATCAGTCGCAAAACCTGACATCGCTAATAAAAATGTAATGGTTAATTTGCTTAACGACGCGCTCGAGGTATCATTCAAACCATTTGTGGAATAGTTCAATCATTTGGGTTATCGTTCGTTTATGGTTTTTTTATTAGGGGTGGTCTTTTCTGTTACTGCCAGACTGTAAATATGTATAGCGACTATAGTGCTGTAGTATGTGTCAACTGCAAAATAATATGTTTGCATTTAGTTTCAATTTTCAGAGAGTGTAAGTCTTCATTTTCTCAGCCTTCTGGAAGCATTGAAGGAAACGCGTTCAACTGTACTGGCGAAACTGTTGCCTCTTTGGACACCTGTTCTGTCATCAAACACACCGCTATCCGGTACGCTACATGTTCGTCTACAAAATTGCCGCGACGCAGTTCCAAACGCTACCGATCAGGATCTACACGCCTCGGAAGCACTACTGAAATGGCTCCAACAATTACAGTTTAAAATGGGCCAAATAGAGTTGCAATCATCAACAGCAACGCAATTCTATTCTATTTAAGAAGTGGTAGCAATTAAATTAAATTTGTAGCTTGTATTTTTATTTGTGACGTTGTGGTAGTGAGTTCAGATTGTTATCAACCATTTAAATAATCAATATAATTTAAGCACGTACAGTTACTCCAAAAAATAAGCAAAGGTGTATCTCTTGGTTATTTTTTAAAGCACCAGTTACGGCGGTAAGCTCCAAATCGGATTGACTTTTAATTGGCGTTGACAGTGGCTCTGCAGCTCTTTATTCCTATGATGAAATCCATAAGCATGCTAATAGATCGATTTCATACAAAGTCAGGGTAACCAAAGAAGAATACTAAGGCTATGAACCATTTGGCGATTTTTTTTTTAACTTTTGGTTAAAATTTTGCAGATGGAATGTTATCGATTAACCCTGCTATCCGAGCATGGTTATTTCTGACAGACAAGAAGTTAAATTTTGACGCTCATGGCTCGAAAATCGGTCGATCGACAGCACGGGGATTTTCGAACATAAGAAATTACTTTCGAAATGTCACTTTTAACCACGAGTTAAATTTAACTCGGCAAATGGTTCACAGCCTAAGGCTCTGAACCATTTGGTAGATTTTTTTAAACTTTTGGTTAAAATTTGACAGATGGAAAGTTATTGATTAACTCTGCTATCCGAGCGTGGTTATTTGCCCCGAGCAACCCTTCCCACTTGTCTTGGAATCTACCCTATAAATCATCCGCAAAGCGGAACTACAGCAGGCCACGGGAGTTACTCATTTACATGCTAGGTTGTGGAACTACTCGACGCAGGCAAGTTCCTAAATTTTGGACGATTTTTTCTTCCTTCCAAGGTTGCGTGTGTATGCGGTGCGGCCAGAGAGCAGGGGTGGGAACGAAGACAGAACTGCCACCCTCGTTTTACTTTCTTCCGCGTGCATTGTCTTTCGATGCGGTTGTTTGTTGATAGGTTAGGGTCGGGGGTTATTTGCCCATAAATTTGGCTTATGCGACCGATTCTTATTTGTTCCAACCCAAGGCATGAAGAATTGAGAATGTGTACAAGGAAGATGTCCGTACAATTAACTATGTTACGGAAATTATAGCCAAAGTTAAACGAAATTTCACGGCACGATGAGCAGTTTGACAGTTGTAGGGCAGTGAAGCAGCTCTGTGTGGAAAAATTACGCTAATCCCACTATTTTGGGTTGACGTTAACTATATGGATCACCGAATGTCGGTGAACTGTTTATATCTTCGTTCCGTGTGCTGTCATCACCGAGGTCATCACCCATCGTAAAACGGTAGTGCTTTTGCACTATTATTGTGAGCCTATCACCGGCATTGACAGCAGCAGAGGAATGAGGTGGTGGAGTTTTATTATTTTTTAGCAACGCCACTCCGTTACTAGGGTAGTGATTTATGTAGTTTTTCCCCGCAACCCACTCACATCCAGTTATGTTGAACATAAGCAAACTGAAATTCCTGATTTTCAAACATTATTTAAATGCATAGTTATAAATCAATCGCAGCAAGCGGTGAAATCCTGAATGCAGTTCTGTCTGACGGAACGAAAATTCCCATCACTCCTCCACCGCATGCTTTGATAATGAATTAGTTCCCGTCACGCGGTGTGTTGATAAGTTGCCAACCAAATCACAGCAAATTCAATACATGCAAGAGAAAAAGTATAACTGTTAATATTTATCAATCAACATGGACAGTGCAGTGATGACCCGTGACGTTTCATCGGTTGCACACATGTTCCTATTACCACCGTGTAGTCAAAACAAATAAATCTTGGGGGAATTTTTCAGAACGGTTCTATCTGCGTGACAGTTTGTCACTATTAGCTTCGCTCTAAGGTAATTTGATATTTTGGTTGAGACCTATTCTACAAGTTAATGTAATTTTGTGGTTCACGATGCATAGCTTACATTTAAACTCTACCGTAAAGTAGGAACAGCTCAGACCGAAAGTATCAACGACTGCAGATAGGACCTTTTGAAAACACTGCCTTGAAATTGGATTATGAAATCGATTGATTGCATAAATTAAGAAGAAGACTCATGCCGGATTTCATGCAATTTGATAGAGCAATATTACCTTAACCTCGTTGGCGAAAGCGAAGCGGGATGGACTCCGCCACGTATTAGTCCATTTCGGCGCATGTATGGGCACAACGTAAACAAATAATCCAATCCAAAATTCCGCCCGTTCCAACATGACTAGGTTTCCCCTTGCATCTGACTAGGTTGGTTGCATCATATTGTGCGACGGACGGACGCGTCGTCCTTATCAGCCAGTTATTACCAGTTGTAGGGGCCCGACACAGAAGAGTAGTGTACAGTTAACTGCTACTAAATACTGTTGCCAACGCGCGAAAAGCACGTGCTAATCACGAGTACTCGGGTCCATAGGCAATTAAAACTTGGCCTCTCGCCCGGCTTCCACTCACTTGCTATAAAAAATTGTTTTTTTAAGAATCATGAAATCATTGCATTGAATGATATTTTGTTATTGTATGTTACAAGAAGAGGTTGTGCTGTATGTGATTGACTCATAAAACCTGTTAATTTCGCTTTCACAGCGTCAACATCAGCGATTTAATGATTCGTGAGCACTGATTTTGAAACTCTGAAAGCAATATTGACAGGTTTTATGTGTCAAACACATGCTTTACGACCTCTTCTTGTAACTTACAAGTACTAATTATCATCATAACATCTAATGATTTAATAATTCCGAAAACCAATTTTACATAGCAAGTGATTGGAAGCAAGCCTCCCGAAAAAAAAATTACAGTGAAATTTTCAGTGGAAACAATGCTCTAACATTAATATTTATTGTCGACAATAAAAATGATTGTTATAATGTTGTACTCTTGCGAAAACGGCAAAACTGCTACCTAGATGTACAATGAATGTACATAATAAAATGTTGTTACAATGATTTTTATCGTATTTTTCATTTATTTTATTGTTAACATGATTCGATCATGAACAATAATTAACAACTCTATTACAATAAAAATTGTTGTTACATTAAATATTGGTGTATTTTCATTGTGGGTTACTTCACGAACAATAAAAATAAATCTGATTGAAGCATGCAGACTATGAGAGGGTCAGCAACACTGCCAATGTAATTAAGATAGGCGCTGCTCGTATGGCTCTGGCTTTGACAGTTCGTTTGGCTCAAAATCAGGCAGTCCGCGTCCGCTCATATCTTATCCTAGACCCTCTCTAAAGCTTAATGGAGACCTTTTCCGTGCAGTCAATAATCATACAATAATAATAAAAAATTCCACCACTTGAAGATGTCAGGAAGCAACTCTCAGGTGGAAGCATATTTCATGGGCGATTCTCTCCAGTCGAATGCATTAACTTATCAACGACGCTCAACCACCAAGGAGACGTGACCTAGGGATATCGAGCGCAGGGGAGTTGGCCTGCATTTCTCACAAGTTCCGGATCGAATCTCGATCCATAACCAGTAAAAAAAAGGACCACCCGTAACAGACATACCACCCCACCCCCCTTCCCTTCCCGGGGCAATGTTTTATTTTTTCGATTTATTTTTAAAGTCGATAAAGTAGATCTGTCAAGCCAACACATACACTCTAAAGTACCCTGTTATTTTTTTTAATCAATAAATTCGCCAACCAACAGTAAAATAACAATAATATATAATGTTATTGAAAAAAAATTATATGGGAAAATCACGAAAATTTCATTGTTAAGATACTTAACAACCCCCCTTTTTTATTGTAAATTTTCCATTTACCATGAAATTTATTGTTTTGTACAACATAAATCAAGGTAAATTTATTGTAGACGTAACAATATAAATCATTGTTAAGACAATAATTTTCGTCTTATTGTTACATTGTTTTTTAATGTATTTTTGTTGTTATTTTTTTTCGGGCTGCTCTCGCGGTCATCTTGAAAAAAGGCTTGATGATGCAGATTTAAAAATTTTGCACGGGAAGGTATCGGATTCAAATTTTGAAAAGCTCCTATTTCTCAAATAAAGCTTTTTTTTTCGATGATGAAATATTCGAAATTTCAAGCGGAACAATGCATTAGGCCCTAAGTTTAACATTGACAGGTTCTCGTCTTCGACTTTCTCTTTGCCTCCTCACGACCATATTAAGACATTCCCAGCTATTTTCAGCACACAGATTGAATTAGAAGCTATTATCTAGCTTCTAATACGACAAACACGACAAGAGAAGCGATCACTGTTCATTAGGACCTATTGCATTGTTCAGCTTGATTTAACAAATCTTTTGATGAAAGTGGCTCGAATATGTAGATTTCGGCTTTCTATTCCCCACAGTAACACACACAGTAATTTAAAGTACTTCATTCGAAAAATATAAGCGGTTTAAAACTTCCTCGCCGTGCAATACTTTTTAAAATCTGCCAAGTTTTAAATGCCTATTTTCAATCCGTTCTTCAGTTCGTATGCCTATACAGTACACAGCTGGTGTAGTCACCCAAGATAGAAGATGTCGAGGATGAAGTTCGGACTTTGAACAGACGGACAGTCAACCGCAACTAACGGTGAAGTGTAACTGCTTTTCCGGTACAGACAACAGTTGGCAGCGGGGATGTTCTGATCAATCAAGGAGTAGCAACCATTGATATGTGCAGTCAATCTAAGCTAAGCTAAGCTATATTTTATTTATTTCATGTAATTATTGCAAATAATAGTTATTCAATAATAGAATCCATATATTCGTACTTTGACGCGAAGCGCTGTGGATTATAAGATGCTCGATGACCTTCGAGGGATCGATTTTGCTTACTGAGCAGAAAATCATGGATTTAACCCCAAGCTCTTCCACAGTACAATAAATCGCCACCATCATTTGTATATTTGATACTGAACATTAACCTCGGAAACTATTTGCATATCAAGCGAAAACGTAGTCCTGTATTGTCGCGAAGCGTTATGGTTCTGAGATGCTCGATGACCCTGGAGGGATCGTTTTTGCTTACTGAGCAGAAAATCATGGGTTTCATCCCAAGCCCTCCGTCATGACTCTTAAAATTCATTATCACTTAACAAAATTAATATGTTCTTTCGATAGCCGGCTATCGAGAGATTAAATAAACAACAAATAAACAATACATACTTTTGGTTGCATCGCCAACTTGAGGTGAATCCTAACCGAATACCCTACCCAACCCTCCAACTCCGTAGCACTTATGAGGGTGTCGCTAAGTCGGTGGCCTCTCGTTAAGTAAGTACTACATCAACATTTCCTTCCCTATCCCTAGTTATGGTAAAGATGGGCGTGGCCGGGAATAGCGACAGTCATGCTTCTGTTACTCTTGTTTAGATTGGAACCAATGTTTACTCCTCAGCATTATTCCTGAAAGTAGTCTAACTGAGATTTTCAGAAGAGACGTGAGTGTCGCTAGTATCCAACCTACGAAGTATATCATAACAACGCTAACGCTAACTCTGCTATCCGAGCGTGGTTATTTCTGACAGACTAGAAGTTAAATTTTGACAATCGTGGTTGAGTTCTTCTCGAAAACCGGTCGATCGACAGCACAGGGATTTTCGAACATTGAGAATAACTTTCGAAATGGCATTTTTAACCACGAGTTAAATTTAACTCGGATAATGGTTCACAGCATTATGTCGTTTTCGTTTTTGCGGTGTAGCTACACCGGCTTGATTTGTAATCGACTTTACCGGAGAACTGTAATTTTGGAGTCGATATGGAAAATGAAATTTACCGAAAGATCTGTAGTTTTTTAAAAGGTAATTTTTTTTTTTCTTTGGTTTGTTTTCCGTCGATCTTGTTTTACGTGCTGAGCACCAATGCTACCAACGCCAGGGAGGCAGCTCCCACACCTGGATCCTACCTATCGACCCATCAACTCATGAACCGGGGACCAACGGCTTTACTTCCCTGAACATCCCGGCGGCGCCGACTGGGATTGAACCCAGGCCTGCTGGGGTGAGAAGTAATCACGCTTACCACTACACCACCGGCGCCGCTGACAACTGTAATTCGCTTAAATATTGTTTCAAGGTATTTTCTTGGTTTTATCAATTAATTTAATGCATTTTTCCTTATCCTTTATTTTATTTTATTCTTACGGATATGTTTTATGTAAACCTAAAAACCCAAAACTTACCCATAGCGCTGGCGGTCACTGCAACCCATGCAAATATTTGGCTCCAGTTGTGGTCAATGTAAATATTAAAGTTGAATATTGCTGCCAGTATAAAAATTTCTCTTTTTTATGTGGTCATTGATATGTTGGTGCATTCCGGTAACATAGCCTGGAACTTGCGACCGACAGAAAAAAAACAACAACATCGGCCATATGTAACAATGACAATGGGTGTTTTTTTAGATAACGAAATATCATTACTTACGGAAAATATCTACGATTCGCTCATCTTTTGGCGTTGCAGCTGGTCCATAAAAGCCTCCATCATTTCACTTTTTGTTTTTCAGTTTCCACTTACAAACTTTTTCTTAAAGGTCGAAAACACATTACGGCGGATTTGACGATTCTCGCTGTGAAATCTACCGAACTCGGAACGGAACGCTTTGTTTACCGAAACTTCAGTAAAATATTTACCCGAAGTCAGTGATGAAGCTGATTTACAGATCTGCCGGTAATTTTTTTTTTTACCGTTTTCGTCGAATTGAAATTAAATCACCGAAATTCGGTAATTTTATTTACAGTTTTCAGCAAATGAGCAAGAAAATACCGAAACATCTGTAATTTTTAGGATTAAGGATCTACAACGCTATCCAGACTGGAGAGTTCTTCTTCTTCTTCTTCGCATTCCAAGCTTATTGCATATCGCACATTAGCTTATTGCGTGCTCTCAACTTAGTGTTCTAGATGCACTTCCACAGTTATTAATTGACAGCTTTCGATGCCTGTACCATTTTTGCATTGATATGATTGTGTGGCAAGTCCAATCATACTTCTATGCCCAGGGAAGTCGAGAAATTTTCCAACCCAAAAAATTCCTAGACCGAACCGGGAATCGAACCCAGCCACCTCCAACATGGTCTTGCTTTGTAGATGCGCCTTTACCGACTGAGCTAAGGGAGGCCTAGACTGGAGAGTTATAACATGTTATTGTCGTTCAAGTTGGACATCGGAAAATCCCACACGCGACATTCGATTTTACCCTCGTTCTATACGTTAAACATAACGTCGGACCACAAACGAAGTGACAGACGACTAACTGGCGAAGAAATCCATTAAAATAATGTGGTTCACTGTAATAGAATTTTCTTGTAAACTTGTGCCATCATCCAGCAGATGGGTTAGTTTTTTTGTTTTGATTTGAACAAAGTTGATTTTGTGTACAATGATTCTTTGACAGTGTGCAAAGAGTGTATCATTTTGTCATTTTTTTATGCATTTCAGTTTTGAGTAGAGTGAAAGAGATAGAACCAAAACATTCTAATACATTTGGTGAAAATGCTAGTACAATCCAGTAGTAGTGTTGCCATGTGGTACAATCCAGTAG